TGTCCTCGCCCCACAGGCTCCTGGAGCAGGGCATCCACAGCGATGTGGTGTTCGTCGTGCACGGAAAGCCGTTCCGAGCGCACCGCTGCGTCCTGGGTGCGCGCAGCGCCTACTTCGCCCACATGCTGGACACCAAGTGGAAGGGCAAGAGCGCGGTGGTCCTCCGGCACCCCCTGGTGCGGCCCGGGGCCTGGCGCGGGGCTCGCCGCCCGGCCCCCACCCTGACCCCTGCCCGTGTCTGTCCGCAGATCAACCCCGTGGCCTTTGGGGCCCTACTGCAGTACCTGTACACAGGTGACCCCTGCTGCCCGCCCAGGAGCCCCTGGGCGCCGGGAGGGGGGACGAGGGCAAGGGGGAGGGCAAGGGGGAGGAGGGGGTGGACCCGCCTCCCGGCTGTCCCTGTGGCCTGGGGGCTTGAGCAGACCCTGAACAGACCGGTGGGCCCTGGAGGGGAAACCCAGGCAAGGGCAGGCTCTGAGTGGTCTTTGTCCTGGTAGGTGGGCTGAGCGGGAGGGCCTCACCCAGGGAGGCCTCTGTGCCCCCCACCTGACCCCCCAGGGCCCGACCCTTCCCCCTCCCCATCTGAACCCCCCCACCTGATCCCCCCCTGCCCAGGCCGCCTGGATGTGGGTGTGGAGCACGTTGGTGACTGTGAGCGCCTGGCTAAGCAGTGCCAGCTGTGGGACCTGCTGGACGACCTGGAGGCCAAGTGTGAGAAGGTGTCTGAGTTCGGTGCGTCCCGGCCCCGGCCGATGCCCCGGGTGGCAGCGCGCAGGACCAGCCTGGCCCCCTGAAGCCGCTCTCCCTCCCTAGTGGCTTCTAAGCCGGGCACGTGTGTCAAAGTGCTGACCATTGAGCCCCCTCCCACCCACCCCCGGCTCCGAGAGGACATGGCGTTGCTGGCCAACTGTGCTCTGCCTCCGGAGCTGCGAGTAAGCACAGGCGGGTGGGGGGGTAGGCCCCACGGGGGCAGGAGCAGGGTGAGGGCGTAGAGCAGGGTGGGGGGCAGGGCAGGCCTCATGGAGCCGGCTCCGGTGGCTGCGTTCTGGTCTCCCTTCTCGCTGCTCGCCCTGAGGCAGCTGCCATCTTGTGGCAGGGCGACCTGGGTGAGCTGCCCTTCCCGTGCCCGGACAACTTCAACAGCTGTCCCGATGTCTGCTTCCGCGTGGCGGACTGCAGCTTTCTCTGTCACAAGGTGTGCCTGTCCCCCCTCCAACGCCCCCACCACTGCCCTGAGTCCTCCCCCCTCCATTGCCCCTGCCATTGCCCCGAGTCCTCCCCCTCCCCCCCGGACCCAGGGCTGTGGGCGGAGAACCACGGCCCGGGTCCAGGGGACCCCTGGGAGACCCCAGCCCCAGCTCTCGGGCACCCGCCGCCCCCAGGCTTTCTTCTGTGGCCGCAGCGACTACTTCCGGGCCCTGCTGGAGGACCACTTCTGCGAGAGTGAGGAGCCAGGGGCCCCCGGGGCGCCCACAACCGTCACCCTGCAGGGCATCTCACCCGAGGTCTTCACCCACGTGCTGTTCTACGTGTACAGTGACCACACTGAGGTCCGTCCAGGCCGAGTGGGGCCCAGCCATGCTCCCCTCCCAGCCACGCTCTCCCCCCAGCCACGCTCTCCCCCCAGCCACGCTCTCCCCCCCGGCCACACTCTCCCCCACACAGCCACGCTCCCCCCAGCCACGCTCCCCCCAGCCACGCTCTCCCCACGGAAGGGGGCTGCGGGATTGCAGTGGATGTTTCTTGGTGGGGCAGAAGGGGGCAGGCTTCCTGTCCTGAGGTGGTGACACTTGCACATGTCAGGCTGTCCCTTCCATGTGGGAGGGGAGGGGCGGGCACCTCTCTTGCACTGACTGCAGACAGTGTGGGGTTCCATGGCAGGTGTGAGCATGCCCCGTCACGTGGCAGTGTGGGGTTCTGTGGCAGGCGTGGGCCCTGTCAGCTGACCCAGGGAGGCAGGAGCTTGTCTTTTGGTCTGAGGCGTGCGTCCTGTGGGTGGCTGCGCTGACCTGCCCGGCAGGGCCGCCAGGCTTCTCTGAAGGCTGGGGCCTCAGGCTCCAGGCTCCATGATGGAGCAGCTGGGGCCGCGGGGATGGGCCTGGGCCAGGAGAGCTCAGTGTACAGAAGGGGCCACCACGGCCTCCCGTCTGCACAGGACCTTGTCCTCTGCACATGGAGATGGGCCGGTGGAGAACTCAGGCCCGCTTTGCCGGGTCTGCGGGGTGTGGATGGGATACCAAATCAGGCTTGACCTGGAGTTGGCCTCAGGCTGTGTGACGCAGCTGGCGGCCTCCTTGGTCTCGTGGGACAGAGGCTGGAGAGGTGAAGGGATCTGCCCTGGGCCCCACAGCCGCGCGAGGCGGAGCCCCGGCTGTGACGGGCCGGGATGCTTTCTCAGGCGCTGCCTCCCGCTGGCCCCCGGTGGGGACCAGAGCCAGGCTGCAGGAGCCCAGGGGGCTGCTGCTGCTCCCACCAGCACGTCCACCCTCCTCCCAAACGAGCCCAGCACCAGCCCTTGGGCCGGGGAGCCCGCGCTGCTGTGGGGCGCGACTCTGCTCCTTTCATCGCAGCTGCTGCCTGAGGCAGCCTACGACGTGTTGAGAGTGGCTGACATGTACCTGCTGCCGGGCCTGAAGCGGCTGTGTGGCCGCAGCCTGGCCCAGACCCTGGACGAGGACAACGTGGTGAGCGTGTGGCGCATGGCCAAGCTCTTCCGCCTGGCGCGGCTCGAGGACCAGTGCACTGAGTACATGGCCAAAGTCATCGAGA